GGAGATGGAGAGATGGTTCAGCAGTTAAGAGCACTGGCTGTTCTTGCAAAGACCCAGGTTTGAATCCCAGCATTCACATAGTGGTTAACAACTGTCTGTAAATCCAGTTCCAGGGGATCCAACAACCTCTTCTAACCTCCATGGGCACTGCACAACATGGGTGTCATGGGTGTACTCACATACATGCACACATAACACTCATGCACATAAAATAAAAATAAATAAAATATTTAAAAAAGAAAAGGCAAATGAATAGGCCATATCCCTGCACACTATCCTGCCTTTCCACCCAGAACTGGTCTAGTGTGAACAGGCTGAAGGGATGATTAGTCGTACCCTAATACCAGCTCCATCCCCGAACAAATATAGCCACAGAATGGACCAACAAGAGAGACATGACTAGGCAATGTTAGTTACCCACAGAAAAAGCAGCACACGTCAGACATCACAGGCCGGGTGGAGGCCCTCTGAATGACTGATTCAGCCTGTGTCTGGGCACCAGTGCATGTAGTCACCTCGCTGTGACAGAAGCTAAAGAGCCAGGTGAGGTCAGCCTATCCCTGAGAGCCCTGAGGGACAGAGGACCCAGGAAATAGACAGGGAGCAGGACAGAGAGGAGCACAGGAAATGCTCCCAGTACCTCAGAATGGGTCAGAAGAGGGAACAGAGTGACTCACTCATAGAAGTGTGCCTTGGAGATGGACAAGAAGCTGCAGTCTCTGTTGGCTCTGATGGTGAACATTAGGGGCTCACCAGTGAGCACCGCCAGCTGGCCCACCATCTCACCAGGGTGTGTAAGGAACAGGCAGGTATCCTCCAGGCTATCGATCTTACGCTGGTATACATGTAACAGGCCCGAGACCACAAACAAGATATTGACATCCTGACAAAAGCAGAGCGGGGCAGCTTTCAGGAAGATGCATATGACAGCAGTCCCTGATATCCCACGGGCCCAGAACCCAGAGTGGTTGACTAGCCCCACAGAGCTGCACATGGTACAAACAGCTGCTTCTTTGCCTGTTTCTTCTTTATACATAACTTAGTCCTGGGTACACACTTCCACTGAGAACATTATAGCAGTCCTATGGCTCTGTTATTTCGTTGAACAGTGCCTATGCTTTATTATTTATCAGTTACAGGAAAGCTACTATTTCAAGACTCAGATACATGTCTCTCCCTTCTCTACATCCTTCCCCTTAAAGCTCCACATAAATGTCAGCCAATTTTCCTACAGAAATGAAGATGTAGCCCATTCCTTTGAAGTCCTACACAGCCATACTTCTGCCATTCTGTGAAGTCACATATTTTGATCCAACATCTGCCCACTTATGCCATAAAACTACACAGGACCAAGTTTCAACCTGTTTGTACCCATCATAGGACTCTTTCCAGATGCTCATCCTGCCCCAACTCCTTAGCTTACATTAAGAAAGCCAGAGCAGTTGGTACATGCATGGGGAAGCCTAGCACCCAGGCCCTAAGCTGTCTATGGACAGTTGGCTTCGAAGACAGTGCCCAAAGGTCCTGCAGTCTGGTATTAGAATAACTCCCAATGAATTGCCCTCCCCTACACTCTACCTAGCACTGAGCTGCGGGGCTGAGCAGTCCCCTTGACCAACCCTTCAGGACTGATGTATTTCACTCACCTGATCTCCCTGTTTTGACACTATGGTGCCTGCAGGGACATGGAGAAATGCCACCCGATCATCCAACAGGGATGGGTCCTAAAACACAGAACATATTTCAAGAAGTGACATGAAGAGGTACTTTAAGTGAAGGCTCAAAGGATGGGGATCACACAGGCTTAAGACAGAGGCAGTCAGAAACAAGAGTATGGCTATATCAAGTGCAGCTCCAAGGACCAGTCGTCCATTGATATGGATACCACAGCATTCTGCACAAAGGATCAGTGGAGTATAGCAGAGACTGCAGAGATGCAGATCAATATTCCTTAAACTTATATAAGACAGAGAAAAGGTTTAATCTCTGTAAGAAAGGGCAGTTTATTTTATAAGGTTGTCGGCATAAAGGGAAGACAACTAACTGGGACACCCTTTCCATACTCACTACAAAAAACAGCCAACTGCCAAATATAGCAGCATATACCTACAGTCCCAGACACTTGAGAGGCCAAGGCAAGAGGATCGTTTGAGCTCAGTAGTTCAAACCTAGCTTGAGCAGCACAGTGAGACACAAGTCTTTTAGAAAGTCAACTTGGGCTGGGCATGGTAGCATATACCTTTAATCTCAGCACTCAGAAGGCCAAGGCAAGTGGATTTCTGTGAGTTCAAGGCCAGCCTAGTCTACCTAAGGAATTCCAGATCAGCTAGGGTTACATAGTAAGACTCTATCTTCAAAAACTAAAAAGAAAAAGAATGGAAGGAAGGAAGGAAGGAAGGAAGGAAGGAAGGAAGGAAGGAAGGAAGGAAGGAAGGAAAGTTGGGCAACTTAGATAAGTAACTAAGGTACCATCTCCCATCCCACCTGCCAAGTCTGGCTCTTTCACATGACCTATCATGTCAGGAGCAACCTGAAATCCAGCATAACTAGAAATTGTACCTAGGGAGCCTTCAGGGATGGGCCCCTCAGGCAGCACCCAAGGTAGTCCAAGTGCCTGTGTGCACATGGGCCTAATGCCTGCAAAGGTCTAAAAAAAAAAAAAAATCAAAATACTTTAATTCACAATTCTTAGTAGTAGTAAGAAAATAAGAAAGCTCACTAGTCACCTTTGAAAAATGACATACACTAGATCATTAATTTAAACATGCCAACTCAGGCTGAGGATGTAGCTGTGTGTCAAAGCATAATTCAATAGTAGCAATGTACAAGGCCCTGTGTTCCATCCCTAGCACCCCAAATGTAAATAAATAAAAAAACCTACCAAGCCCTAAGAAGAGACCTAAGCTCCACCCCAGGGGGGAAAAACCCCTAGAATCACAACCCTATGACTTGTTTTGGCAAAAACAAGAGGGAGGAAGAAATGACGGAGGAGGAAAGAACCTAACTCAACTCCTATACCAGCTACTAGGCCAGAGAGCCACTAATCAAGTGGGTTCAGTTGTCAGAGAGGATCTCTGAACCTTTGCTAAACTCAAGGGAAGAGCTGCTGGTCCTTCAAGAAGCTTAAAACAACAACAACAACAACAACAACAACAACAAAACTCAGAAAGGGAAGGGAACTCAACCAGCCTAGCATGGAACTCTCAACAACTTTTGGAGTTACTGGGCTAGCCAGGAAGTTGAAGACTAGCTAAGCAGTCTGTTCTGCTATAGGAAGAAGAGTATCATCTTAGGACTCCCATAATGCTAACAGTGAGCCCTCCAATGCCATGACCAGACCCAGAGACACCCTGAGCAAAACCCAGACGGGACAGAAGAGGACAGGCTACTCCAAGGGAACAACCTCTCAGAGGAAGCACTACTAAACATAAAAGGAAATGCCAAGACATTTAGTAAAAACTAGAAACTTCTGTGTGTGTGTGCATGTGTGTGTACCATGGTGCACATGTAGAAGTCTGAAGATAACTTGCAGGAGTTGGTTCTCTCTACCATATGGGTTCTGGGGATTGAATTCAGATCATTAGGCTCCGTGGTAAATGTCTTTACCCACTGAGTCATCTCACTGGTCCTTATTCTCTACATTATTTTTTGAAGCTGGGTGTCTCACTGAACTTGGAACACCTTCTTTCAGCTAGACTTGCTACCCAGCAAGCTTCAGAATCTGCCTGTATCCATCCCTGCTTACCCCTTCTGCCTCAGCACTGGGGTACAGATACATGCAATCGCATGCACCTGTGACAGTCATTCCCCTTCTGAGTGCTGGGGATCTGAACTCAGGTCCTCACATTTGGACAGTTTATCCACTGAGTCATCTTCCCAGCCCCAAACAAGAAACATGTCAATATTGACTACAGATTTCTCTAAAAAATAGAAATTATAGAACTACATAAAATAGGGCTGTCTATAACTCCAGTTTCAGGGGATCTGACGACCTCTTCTGTCCTCTGTGCATGACATAGGTGCACTTACATGCATGCAGGCAATACATATGTATACATTTAAAAAAAAAAACCTATCTAAAATAACCAAAGTTAAAATTTTGATTCACAGCTTTAGTATCAGGTTAGAAACTACAAAAAGAGAACTGATGAATTTAAATAGGTATCTCTACAAATAAAAAAAAGACTTTAAAGCTGGACATGGTGGTGAACTTTAATCCCAGCACTGGGGAGGCAGAGGCATATGGGTTTGAGGCCAACTAGGGCTATATAGTGAGTCCCCATCTCAAAAGAAAAAAAGAAGACTTTATGGGTGCTGAGGAGATGACTCAGTTACTCAAGCGTGAAGACTCCAATTCCCAGAACCATGTAAAAAAGCCAGACATGCATCTGTAACCCTCACATAAGGGGTAAGTAGAGGGGTGGAGTTAGAGACAAGTGGATCCTCAGAGCCTGCTAACCAGACAGTCTAGCTAATCAGTGAGCACTAGGTTTAGTGAGAGACACTGTCTCAAAAGACAAGGAAAAGAGCAATTGAGGAAAAGCTGAAAACACAGCGATTACAGATCATACTCTAGACCATATAGAACAGAGTCCAAGAAAGCAAAAAGCAATAAAACTTTTAGACAACAATACAGTAAAAATGTATGATGTCAGACAAAGGAATTTTTAGAATTAGGAACAGAAAGTACTAACCACAAAGGAGAACACAGGAAATGTCCCTAGATATCACTCAGAAAGAAAAAAAGACAACTCCTAGAGTAAAGTTTGTGATCTAGCAAACATAGACAGCCTAAAACTCAAATTAACTCCCAATAGAAAGTGGGAAAAGGGCCGGGTGCGGTGGCGCACGCCTTTAATCCCAGCATTCAGGAGGCAGAGGCAGGTAGATCTCTGTGAGTTCAAGGCCAGCCTGGTCTACATAGTGAGTTCCAGGGCAGCTGGGGCTACAGGGAGACCCTGTCTCAAAAAGACCAAAAAAAAACAAAAGAAAGTGGGAAAAGGGCTGAGGCTGTGCTTCATATGAGGGACCCCAAGAGGCAACACAGTAAACAGAACGAAAAAGGCATTGAGCTTCACTGGTGACCAAGGAGAACGAGCTATAAAGAAAAAAATCTGCCTCTGCCCTTTTAGAACATTTCTCTAAAATTGAAAAGTTTAGGGACTGAGGCGTGACTCAGTAGCAGTCCTTGCCTAGCAGTCCTTAGTCACACATACATATCAGAGTAAAAGAGAGAAAGTTTGACACTTTTAACTGCTGGCATGATGTGAGCCCTGATTCCTCAAGTTTCTGAGGGAGTTTCTAGTTTCAAGTTTCTAGGCACATACTAAGGGCAAATAACGTGGGCATGCTGACTGGAAACATGTACAAGTGGGTCACCATAAGCCTGCTCATGTGTCCACCTCAGTGTGGGTAACATAAGAACAGAGTTCAAGGTACCGACAGAATGGACCATGAACAGGGACTAAACTACAACTACAGACCACCAGGTGAGCAAGGCACTATGCTAAATACGGGGCAGTCACTCTAAAGAACATACTCAGCATGAGTCACTCAGAGTCTAGAATCAGGTGAAATCGGCCAGGGCATCTGGGGGTATAGCATGCCGCAGAAGATAGCCTCTTCTGGGGAGAAGGGTGGACTAAGGTACGCACAGTGGGTTTGAGGGCTGCTCACAGTCTGCATTCCACCCATGTGCTAGTTTTGTGGATCTTCATTAAAGTGGATTCTCTATACACAAGGTCTTCAAAGGTTTTAAAAGCATTAGGTATGGGGATAGAGGTATGGCTCAGTTAGTAAAGCACTTGCCTTACAAGCACAAAGACTTAAGTTTTATCGCCGAAACCCACGTAAAAAATGCCAGGCATGGGGAGCAAGAAAGATGGCTTAGTGGTTAAGAACACTGGTTGCTCTTGAGCAAGAGAGATGGCTCAGTGGTTAAGAGCACTGGCTGCTCTTGCAGGAGACCCAGGTTCAATTCCAAGCACCCACATGGCAGGTAACTCCAGTTCCAGGGAGACCCGATGCCCTTTTCTGACCTCTGCAGGCACTGCATGACATGGGTGCACTTACATACATGCAGGCAGTACACGCATACACATAAAATTTAAAAAAAAAAAAGCCAGGTGCGGTGGCACACACCTTTAATCCCAGCAGTGGCAGGTGGATCTCTGTGAGTTCAAGGCCAGCCTGGTCTACATAGTGAGTTCCAGGACAGCAGGGGCTACAGGGAGACCCTGTCTCAAAAAGACCAAAAAAATAAATAAGAAGAACACTGGTTGCTCTTGAGGAGGAACCAAGTTTAGTTCCCAGGACCCACATGGCAGCTAACAACAGTCTGGAACCAAGGGCATACCTCCAGGTTTGACTTCCCATTACCTGCAAACCTGGAGAAGGAAGGGGACCATGGTACATATCATAGATAAGCCAGGAAACACCAGAGGGATGCACTGCACAAAATGGGGGCAAGGAAGGAGTAGGCACTGGAAGGTTCAGGAGTTGCCACTACTCTCTCTGAGCCCACACACTTACATCCAGTTTCATCAGGGTGAGGAGGTCCTTTTTGGCAGCTCTGAAGATAGCATCTGTCTTCTCACTGACCCCAGTCTCGTCCCAGGGACTCTCTGAGTAGTGGAAGATAGCAGAGGGGGTCTCTGCAACAATCACATTTTTCTTGGACTTGAGAAAAACAAAGATACAAGTCATCAGAAGAGATGTGATAAAGACCAGATGTGAGTGCAGCCCCATGACCCATTCTCACACTAGTGATGCCAAGTGTGGCCCACACCCTTAAACACCAGTAAAGAGGCTGAGGAAAGCAAAGCCCCAAGAGGAAGATAATGAGCAGAGGCAGGGACCTACCTTGCTGGCCAGAAAGTTCCCAAGGTGCTCATCTGAGTGTGGCATGACCCTGGCACGGTCATATGCCATTCCCAGGTCTGAGGTAGCCCCCTCATGGCCTTCTACAAACAGAAAGGAGACTCAGTTCACCCCCATGCGCTGGCACACATGCACAGGCACAATGAAGTATGCTGAGTGACTAGCTAATGGCACAACTCTGATAAATAAGACTCAGATCTCTAGACAGCAAGGCAATTTTTTTTTTTAAGATGAGTCCATATTGCATTACCATAACAGAACACCAGAGGGTGGTATTTTATAAAGCGAAGATGTTCATTAGCTCACAGTTTTCAGAGGCTGAAAGTCTAAGACCAGCTTGCCCCATGTGATCAGTTTCTAGTGAGGGTGACCTGGCTCCATCACAGTATAGCAAAAGAGCAGAAAGGGAAACGGTCATATGCAGAAAGAGCCAAATGCTTGAAGTACCCTTGCTTTTCAAAAAAAAAAATTACATTTTAATTAATTTATTTAGTGTACATGTCTTTGTATGTGTGATTTAAATATAATTTAACTTTTTTTAAAATTTAAAGATACAACCCTAGGCCGCTGGGGAAATAGCTCAGTCAGTAAAGTGCTTGCCACATAAGCATGAGAACTTGATTTATATCTGCCACACCCATATTAAAAATCAGGCATGTTGATATGCATCTGTAATCCCAGCACTGGGGAGGTAGAGAAGATAGGAAGATCTCTGGGACTCACTAATTAGTCAGACCGGCCTAGATAGTGAGTCCAGGTTCTAGTGAGAGACTGTCTCAGAAAAACGATGGAAATGACATCTGAGGTTGTCCTTTGGCCTCCATAAGTGTACATACACACACATATACATATACATGCATGCGCACATGTGCACACATACACACAAGGGAGTGAAAGTGAGAAAAGAAAGGGAGAGAGAAAAAGGAAGGATGGAAGGAAGGAAGAGAAAGAAAGACAGGCAAGGGAGTTGGATCAATCTGAAGCCAGGTTGTGGCAACACAGGCTCACTGTTTTTCTGGTGAGGGGAGCTGGCTTTCTGGGTGGTAGGGGAAGCACTCAGGTTCCTCATGTACATCCCTGAACATCAAGCTGCAGTGGTCACGCATGGTCGTCCAATAAGGTATAAAGCCAGAAAGTAAAATTTAAGAACCCATAATCACTGAAATAACTAGCTCCAGGGGCTGGAGAGTTGGTTCACAGGTTAAGAGCAAGTACTGCTTTTGCAAAGGACCCAAGTTTGGTTCCCAGTACCCATATCAAGTGACTTACAACCACTTATAACTCCAGTTCCAGGGGAATCTGATGACTCTAGACTCGATGGGCAAATGTACTCATATGTACATGTGTATGTCCACACATACATAACTTAAAAAATAGGGGTTGGGTATTTAGCTCAGTGGTAGAGCACTTGCCTAGCAAGCACAAGGTCCTGGGTTCGGTCCTCAGCTCCAAGAAAAAAGGGTCTTTTTACACAGTGGTGAAAATAAACTAATTAGGTCAAAGCATCATATCGGGACTCATGAGCTATGACGGTCTCTCTCACTTGTGTCCCCACAAGAGGCCACTGTCCAAACGCAAACAAGCAATAACTCCAACTACAATAGGAACCATTTAACCCTTTCTCTTTTCAGTGTAATTGCCATTGTGTTTCATTGCAGCTGAACTCATGTAAAGTTCACAGGGAGAAAAGTGATATGGAGGGTTATAAAGTGAAAGAGGAATAAGGAACGAATCGAATTTTATGAAAGCGCAGTCTCTTCTCAGACACAAGTACTCAGAGGCCTTGCTTAGGAAACAGAAGGATCAGACCTGTGGTTCAGAAGCTAGATTCTCCAGGTACCTGGGGCATTTATAGAAGCTCATCAGGGGCAGCAGGCAAATAAATGGAAATTCCAGGCATGGGCATGTCTGTTTTCATTCACTTGATATTGTTACTTATAGACAAAAGGAGAAAAAAGTCAGCACTAAAATGAGTTAAAACTCAGGGCTGGGAGATTGGAGAGATGGCTAAGCAGTTAAGAGCACTGGCTGCTCTAGCAGAGGACCCATTTGGTTTCCAGCAACCACATAGTGACTGACAACTCTCCGTAACTCCAGTTCTAGGGGATCCAACAGCCTTTTCTGACTTTCGTGGGCATTGCATGACACGGGTGCACTTACCTACATGCAGGCAATACATGCACACACATAAAATAAAAATAATAAATTAAAATTTTTTTAAAAGTTAAAAAAAAACCTTCTATTTGTTAAAAAATACCAGTAAACAATGAAAAGTAATGCTGGAGAGATGACTCAGCAGCTAAGAGCAACGCCTGCTCATACAGTAGATCCAGGTTTGGTCCCCAGCACCCACATAGCAGCTAACATCTCTAGTTCCAGGAGATCTGATGCCCTCTTCTGGTTTCTGTGAGCATTGCACACATGTAGTGCACTTACATACACGCAGGCAAAACACATACACATAATATAAAAATAAATACATCAAAAAAAAACTTTAAAAAATAGTGAAAAGTAGGTAAAAAATATTTTTTAAATATTCTATTTACTATTTTTATTTTATGTGTATGAGTGTATTGCCTACATGCAAGTAAGTGCACCAATGTCATGCAATGCCACACTGGAAGCACAGTCTGTCAAAATACAAGATTTGAGTGAGAACATAAAACCCAAATTACCAGCCAGATGTGGTGGCACACGCCTTTAGTCCCAGCACTCAGGAGACAGAGGCAGGTGGATCTCTGTGAGTTCAAGGCCAGTCTGGTCTACTTAGTGAGTTCCAGGCCAGCTAGTGCTACAGGGAGACCTTGTCTCAAAAAAACCAAAAACAAACAACAAAAAAAAACAAACAAAAACTGGAGAGAAAACAAGGTTATCCCAGTAGAAATGGAAGGTGCAAAAGATGGAATTGAAAAATAAAAGGGAAAAGTGCCTGATCTGGCCTCCATCTCAAGTAGGGGCTGAGATCTCAGCAGACCGCCTGAGTGCCTGATCTGGCCTCCATCTTGTGTAGGGACTGAGATCTCAGCAGACCACCTGAGTGCCTGATCTGGCCTCCATCTTGTGTAGGGGCTGAGATCTCAGGCCTGAGAGCGCCTAGATCTGGCCTCTACAGGTGGATGAGCTTCCCCAAAGCTTCCCCAAAGCTTCCCCAAATCACAAAATATCCAACCCCCTAACTGGGATTACAGGAGGCCCTTCCCACACCCCCAGGGCAGACCTCTGCCCTAAGGTAGGGTAAGGCTGAGACCTTAGCAGACAGCCTGAGAGTGCCTGATCTGGCCTCCATCTCATGTAGGGGCTGAGATCTCAGCAGACAGCCTGAGTGCCTGATCTGGCCTCCCCTGGTGTAGGGGCTGAGAACTCAGACTGCCTGATATTGCCACAAACAGGCCTCCCCTTAGGGAACTTCCCAAATTGTGCTCTGAGTACCGGCTAGCAGGAGTCCAAATGTTAGAGTGAAGCCTGAGTGTACCTGACAGGAGCCTGACCTGGGCTTCTGTTGGAGCTCCTGAGTAGCTGATCTGAAGCCACCAGCTCCCTCCAAAATAAAATCTGAGAGAACCTGAAACCTAGATCAACCAGCTTTACATAATCAATAAAAAAAACAATCAAGGCACACCAATAATACAAACAGAAGCAAACCTCAACTTAACAAAAGAAAACTTGATTTTCATACCAGAATCACAAACAACAAAAGAAATTCACATGCCAAAATCACAATAAAAAAATAATAAAATGGAAGCCAAAACACTACGCTCCCACCAAACTCCACCAGTCTTGTAGAGTTCTACAAGGAGAATCCCCTAGAGATAACCCAGGACACAAAATTTAAAAGAACAATCATAAACATAATCAAGGGAGAAACTCGAGATAAGCTGACTAGACTAGACTCCGGTGGATGAACTTGCACTGAGGGACATCTGGGTACACAAACTTGATTCCATAGGCTTTTTTTTTTTTTTCGTCATTTTGAAACAGGGTCTCCTCCCTGGCCTGGAACTCCCTATGTAGACCAGGCTGGCCTCTCTCAGAAATCTGTTTGCCTCTGCCTCCTGAGTGCTTGGGATTAAAGGCATGGGCCATGATGCCCAGCTTGACTATACACTGTTAAAGGGTGGACTTTATAGTGTATGAACTACCTCTAAGAAGCTATTACTTATTGCACAACACAAGTGCACTTACCTACATGCAGCAATACATGCATACACATAAAAAGGTCAGCCTGGTCTACATAGTGCGTTCCAGGACAGCTGGGGCTACAAGGAGACCCTGTCTCAAAAAGACCAAAAATAAAAAATTTTTTTAAAAAGTTAAAAAAAAAAAAAAAAAAAAAAGAAGCTATTACTTAATCCCAGTACTCAGGAAGCAGAGGCAATCAGATCTTTGTGAGTTCGAGAACAGCCTGGTCTATATAGTGAGTTCCAGGCCAGCTGGGGCTACAAGGAGACCTTGTCTCAAAAAAAAAAAAAAAAAAAAGATGGACATGGTGGCACATACTTGTAATCACAGCAAGAGCTCAAAGCCAGCCTGGGTTAGAGTGAGAACCCTCATCTTAAAAACAAAATAAAAAACAAAAACGATTACTTTGAGAAGAAAAAAACACTTAGATTTGGAAACCTGACACCTAATGAAGCAAGCATTTAAAAAAGCTAGCAACTGTTTCATTAAAGATATTTGGTAGACTATCACTATATAGAATATGACAATAAATTTCCCATCTCACATGTGGTTTATGCTGTATGAGTGAACTACAGAAGAATGAAAGGCCTCAATATGGAAATTAATAGAAAATAATCTAGAAGAACATATGTATGAGCCAGGAATATGCAAAGACTAAGTAAAACATAAAAAGCTAATCACGATGTGCCGAATGGCTAGTTAGCTTCTCTCTCTCTCTCTCTCTCTCTTTCTCTCTCTCTCTCATTGTTGGTGTTGTTGGGTTTTGAGACTAGGTCTTTCCAGACTGGTCTTAAACTTATCACAATTTTCCTGCCTCAGCCTCAGAAGTAGTAGGATTACTGTGCCCAGCAAACAGCTGGTTTTTACTAAAGGAACATTGAGATTTCAGCTGAGTGGAAAAGACCCCTGGGCTAAGTTTTCTGGCAGTCAGAAACAGGAGAAAGTATTTGCAACAATTGAGACATAAAGAGGGAGCCATGTGTGGTGGTACACACCCAGAATTTCAGTTTGTACGAGACTAAGACAAGAGAATTTCCAGTTTGAGGCCAGACTGGGTTACACAGTAAGACCCCATCAGAAAAAAAAAAAAAAACAGGCTAGAAAGACAGCTCAGTGGATAAGAGCAGGTACTCCTCGCATAGAGGACTTGAGTTCAGTTCTCAGCAACCATATCCAGTGGCTCAGTCACCTGTAACTCCAACTCCAGGAGGATCCAGTGCCTTTGGCCTCCAAGGTCACCCACACATACACACATAATTAAAAAATAATAAAGAGCTGGGCATGGTAGCACGCGACACCTTTAGTCCCAGCACTTGGGAGGCAGAGGCACGCAGATCTCTATGAGATCAAGGCCAGCCTGGTCTACATAGCAAATTCCAGGCCAGCTGGGGCTACAGGGAGACCCTGTCTCAACCCCACCCCCCCCAAAAAAACCAAAAAACCAAATAACAAAAATAAATCTTTAAAAAAAAAAAAAGAATAACGTAGGATCTCCACTAGAGCATATAAAGAACAAATGCACCAGGGCTAGAGAGATGGCTCAGCAGTTAAGAGCACTGACTGCTCTTGCAGAGGACCGGGGTTCAATTCCCAGCACCCACAGGGTGGCTACGAACCGTCCTTAACCTCAGTTCTAGGGGAATCCGAAGCCCTCTTCTGACCTCTGCGGCATTGCACAACATGGGTACACTCACATACATGCAGGTAATACATTCATACACATAAAATAAAAATAATAAATATTGCCAGGTGTGGTGGCGCACGCCTGTAGTCCCAGCACTTGGGAGGCAGAGGCAGGCAGATCTCTGTGAGTTCAAGGCCAGCCTGGTCTACATAGTGAGCTCTAGGCCAGCTAGGGCTACACGGAGACCCTGTCTCAAAAAGACCAAAAATAATAATAATAATAAATTTTTTTTTAAAAAAGAAGAACCAATGCACAATAAAACAAACTCCAGAAACCATGTAGAACAAAAAGGCCATCTTCCAGGTGTGGAATCGGATTGCCTTTAATTAATCAGGAAGCCACGAAGTTGCCAGTTACTCACGAACAACACACAGCAAAATCAGAGGTGATGAGTGAGCCAGCTGGGGAGGAGCATGGCTGCACTGTTCTGTGTAGCTCAGTTGAACTTGTGGGGCTGCACACATGGGCCCTTAGGCCAACAGCACAACTGTAGGCTGTGCATCTGTGCATTGGGTGCTGGTCATAAAAGACAGGTGCTGGTCCCTATGGGATACAAGTGTCAGGAGGAATTAAGAAGGAAGGAGAGGGGGCTGGAGAGATGGCTCAGCGGTTAAGAACACTGTTCTTGCAGAAGACCCGGGTTCAAATCCCAGCATCCACATGGCAGATAACAAAGGTATGTAACTCTAGTTCCAGGGGATCCAACAGCCTCTTCTGTCCTCCGCGGGCATTGCACAACACGAGTGCTCTTACCTACATGCAGGCAATACATGCATACACATAAAAAATAAAAATAATAAATAAAATATTTTTTAAAAAAGAAGGAAGGAGAGAACAAGTAAGTGCTGCATACTAACTAATAGCAATGTGGTCTGCCCACTAAAAGGAACAACAAAGACTGCATGAGATCCAGCAAGCTAAGCAAAACAGAGACAGGGAGGATGGAAAGCAGTGCATTAGGTTGCAAACAAGAGGAGGCTAAGGCGACATAAGGCATGTCAGTCTGTAGTGTGAAATCCCAGCAGAGGTGAGTCTGATACTGGAGAACGGGCCAGTGGTGGTGGGAGAAAGGGGAAGTAGGTGGGTGTGGAGCCTAGAAGGGAAGTATCATGCAGAGGGCTGATAGAAGAAGGCAACATGCAGAATTTCCCAGGACAGATAAAGCATCATGACACCCATTAATGCCTCAGTCGCAGGGACAGTGTGCAGGTGCAGGTTCCACCAGGCTACAGGCTCTTGTCCAGTCATAAATGGCACCAAGTTCAGGGTGCCCATCTCTGGGCTGGACAAGATGATGCTGTGAGAAGAAATAGCTTGACTCATCCCTTAGACACACAGATCCTGTCATTAGCGCCAGGTGTAGTAGTGGGGACCTTTACCTTGGGTGGCCGAAGGGTCAGGGCAGCTTCCCTGGGACTGTCTGAGCTCATCTGCAATCTCCCGATGGGTGGAAGGTAGAGGGACAGAGCAGCTCCTCTTCAGCAGAGGCCCAGAGACCACTGGGCAGCTGCCCCCATGATCTGGGAGAGAGAGGTGTGAACCACCCCCGCCCTACATGGTCCAGTGTCTGGCTCCAGCCACTATAGACAGCTCAGAAAACAGAGTCCCTATAATAGCACAGGATCCAAAGACAGCCCTCTGAAGTGCCCTGTGAATCTGCAGATAAACTACCCAATAGGGCCCTCAGGCCATCTCACTCTTTGCACTTACCAGGAGAATGTTAGCTCATATTGGTCCTGCTCTACTCCCTCTAACCCTGCAACTCTCCAGGCCATCCTTTCGCATGGGCCTCCTGCTGCTGTCAAGTGCTTTGAGGGTAAACCCTGAACCAGGGAATCTGCTGGTTGCCCCCTTTTCCATAGCCTTTTTCTGTCAAGGTGACCATGACCACACCTGGTCTAAACCATGGTCTTGCCCACCACACAGGACACTATCTGCTGCAGGTCTGTTTCTAAAGAGGTCTATGAACCTCCTCATCCCAGGAGAGCTGCCCTGAGCCAAGTTCCTTGGAGAGGGCAAGCCCCAAGGCTCCATCATTTAATGCTGATCGAAAGTTCAGAGAAGAAAGCACTACTGAGGAAAAATACTTAAATGACACATATTCTATAATACACTTCTGGGGAAAACCAGATCAGCCAGAGATGCGTTTCAAGGCCACTAATGTGCAAAGTCTCATCCTAGGTGGAATCAAATGGGCAGTTCCAGTCTACTTCACACACTTAATTTCACATATACTTTTGTTAGCCACCTGGAACCCTTTTCATTATAGAATGGACTATAAAAACACTGAAGGTATCTCCTTTCTGTCAAGGTGGCTTTATGGTAATGATGCAACATGGATCACCTACAGGCAATGTGTGAAGTTCAAGTATTCCTGGATAGTTTATTTCCAAGTCCTACTTGCTCTCAGAACTAAAAGCAGGAAGACAAAGCTAAGAACCCCTCTCCTGAACAGCATTCCCCTGAGGCAAGTTTCTCACCAGGAAGCAACAAAAATGGACAAGGAGATTCTTGGACCCATGCAACATGGCCTGGGGCAAGGGAGGTTACCTGAGGGAAGCTTATGAGACCTAGGAATAATGACATAATCCAGAATCATGTATGGAAATCTGGGCATATGTGAGGGGAAGTGAAAGAGGAGAGGAGACCTGGGAACATGTGAAGAAACCTGGGACTGTGTAAAGATATTTGGGGGCATACAAGGACCTGGGGGCAGGTGAGGAAGTGTAGGGGCATGTAAGAAGACCTTGGAGCAGGTGAGGAGATCTCAGGGATAGGTGAAGAGACCTAGGGCACATGAGAAAATCTGGGGGTGGGGGAAGAGGGTGAGGTAACTTGGACAGTGGAGAGAGAAGGCTCTGACTGGGTCAGTACCTGAGTCACAAGATTCCAGGGATCGTGGGAGCTTCTCAAGTCGCTCCTCCAGGCCACAGGACATCTGCCTCTTGGCCCGTCCAGATGCCACACTGGCTACTGATAAGAGAGGGATGGCTTGGCTCTCCTGGGGGATAAGAAGGAACATTAGATCTGCTCCAGGGCCAGGGGTTCCCTGGGTGCCCTACAGGCACACTATCAGAAGAATTCAACTATGTCCCAACTATGAAGAAAAGGACAACAACCACTATGGACTTGAGGCAGATCAGAGGATGGGATTGTTAAAGCTCAGCCTCTAATTCTGCATCCAGTCAAAATAACAGCCCACATGGTCAAAAACCTCAATTCTTCATAAGGAGGAAAAAAATAATGCGAAGCATAAAAGGATATTCCCTGAAATACCAGCTACTGAGCATAACAAACCCTAAAAAGTCACCAAAATAAGGAAGGACATTATAACTCAGAGGTACCAAGTATTTACTGATTCTCAGGAGTTCTGTGGGGGCTTCACTTGTATGCTCCACAGTAACTTCCTGTGCCCTCTGATAGAATGTGTAAATTGCAAGAGAGTCATAAGCTTCCTTACATAAATTCCTCAAGGTAGCGAAATGGCCCAAATTGGCAGCTTGGCCTTTGATCAGGCCTTATCAACTAACTGGTCACTACCCTGGCTGACAGAGACTGGCTACAGGGGCACTTAACTCCTGCTGTGCCATAGCCTGCTCTGACAGCCAATCTTAACTGATCACTACAGAGACTGTTTACAGAGTCAACCTCAAATACCCAAGGGACACCGATGCCTGACACCTGACACTGAGCAAATTCCTACAGCTGCCTTCAGCAGAGTCCCTATATAAATCCAGATTGTTCTGCTTATATTTGCTGATGGCTATATCCATGGACAAGATACCAGCTCTTTGCTATGGTCTCCTGAATTAAAGAAGACATATTCTTTGACTGTTGCAGGTCTGGCTCTTGTCATTTCTTAACTTTAAACTCCTTCATTTTTCTGTTCTCTGAAATCTAACACCCTCTACCCTCTAGGTGCTTGGCCTTGCTTTGGGTGTAGGGACAGAGCAATGAATGAAGAAGCCATTGGCTTCATTCTTACCAAGCCTTTCTAGGTGGGAACTAGTCTTTTCCCATTTCACAGACTGTGTCTGGCCAAGGTTACACCAGGAGGTGCAAAAGTCAGGATTCAAGACCCTAGTACCCTTGGCAATGCCCTACACCTTCGCAACAAGTCACAGTTCAGTCTCAGATCAGTTTGGTGTTCATCAAGGGCAGGATGCAGAGCCAAGTGCTAGCAAGAAGAACCTGAGGGACAGGAGTGATGACTCAGCCCACAGCCTCAGTATCTGGGCACAGGGTAAGGGAAAGCTTGGTCCAGGATTAAGCACCAGATTCTTCTAGAATACCAGTCTTAGGGTCAAAATAGAGCCACTGGCAAGTAACAAAGAAGGACAAGCTCTCTAATGTTTGAAAAGTCTACCTGTCCCAATTCTTGGCCCCCAAAAGAGTCATTCAATATACCAGTCTACCTCTGCTTAAGCAAGAAAATAAACACCTCCTAAAGTCCAAAGTCTTGATAACTCACAAGTAAGACCACTGCAAAACCGCTGTGCTCACTAGCACAGGCAGAAGAGCAATGGGGAGAGCTGATACCCATAACAACAGTGGGACATGTAGGTGACCTGCACTCACGGGGTTGAAGAGCTCTGTGGTCAGTCCCAGGTAGTTGTACAGAGCCAGGAAAGTCACCCGCTGCAGCCGAACCATGATGATCTACAAGAGACACCAAAGCATGAGTAGTCCAATCTAGCACCAGCAGTGACACATGGGCTACCCACTGAGCACCACAGCACAGGCCACAGACCACAGCTCACCCTTTCCAGGGCGCAATAACCCACCATCGTGGAGCAGGGTGTTAAGATGAAGTACAACGTGGGACACATAGAAATTCTGTAATATTTTCAGTTTTATGCAATAAAACTGTACAAGATGGGACACACAGAAATTCTGTAATATTTTCAAGTTTTATGCAAATCTTTTATGCAAATTACTCTAAAATAAAATATTAAATAATAAAATTTAAAATTTCTTTTGGGGGAATAGGAGATCTGAAAGTCCCTGCAGAGTTATGGATATTAATTTTGGGATGTTGTATTTGAGTGGGTATGTGTATATCCATGTGGAAGACAGAGGTAGTGTTCCTCAGGAGTCATCCACTGTACTTTTTGACACAGAGTCTCTCACTGGGACCTGGGACTCACTGAAGGCTAGTCTGGATGGCCAATAAGCAAGTCCCAGGGACCCACTTGCCTCCAACTCCCCAATGCTGGAATTATAAGCACATGTGCATTCAGCTTTTTTTACATGCATTCCAGGAATCAAACTCAGGTCCTTATGCTTACAAGACAAGCACGTTACTGACTAAGCTACTTCCTCAGCTGTTTCTTTTTTTCCCCCACATTACTGGGGGGAGGGCAATGGATATGCTATAGCATACATGTAGATGTCAGAGAACAATTTGCAGTGCTCAGTTCTCTCCTTCTACCATGTGGGTTCTGGGGATTGAACTCAAGTTCTCAGGCTTGGCAGGAAGAGCCCTTACCCACTGAGCAATCATGCTAGTCCATTTTTTATTTTTTGAGGTAGAGTCTTGCTGTGTAGCTCTGGCTAACCTAGCACTTGCTATGTATCCCACCCAAGCTGGCCTTGAACTGAGGGCAATCTTTCTGCTGCAGCTTCCCGTGTGCTGGAATTACAGTCATATGCCCCTATGTCTAGTTTATGAATATTCTTTTCTTTGAGAGTAGCTCTAGCAGGCCCAGAACTCACCCATAGAGTAGGCTAGCCTTGAACTTACAGGGATCTGCCTGCCTCTGACTACCTCTGCCTCCCAGGTGCTGGAATTTAGGATGTGCACCACTATGCCCAGCTCATAAATATTAATTTTTATTGTAAAACATGCCACAATTTTAAGTTTTTTATTACATTTATTTATCTATTTATGTGTGTGTTTGCATACATGTGCCATGGTAGATGTATGGCAGTCAGAGAATAACTTGTAGCAGTTGATTCTCTCCTTCCTCTATGTGGGTCCCAGGGATCAAACTCGGGTCGGTACTTGGCGGCAAGTACCTTTACCTGCTAAGTCATCTCGCCTACCCTGTTACAATTTTTTTTAAAAAACAGCACTTCCTAGAATCCACATCCCAGTAGTTCTGCCAGTAAAGCCAGTTAAAGTCTCTGAATTCACCCACATGCTGAATATAGAAGTGATACAGTGAATCTGGAACAGCCCTAGTGGAATCCATGCCAGTTCCCAGCTCTGGTGCCTGAGATGGACACAGCAGATAGAAAAGTCAGTCAAAAAGAAACTTACCTGCACCACCCTCACCAAAGTTTCTGGGTATTTCTCAAAGACTCCTTGAAAGGCTGCTGCAGGAAGCCGTAGAATAGTGGATGAAACAGCTGCACGAGCGGAAACTGCTTTGTAGGATGCAATGTGACCCTACAACAACAACTTGGTCAGTCCCACATCAGAGACCTACAAAGCTGCTGGAGAATTGTCACAACCCATAGAGGCGCCTGGAGGACCCACCTGACCACCACTCACACAGCTGTGATCTTCCCAAGCATGCTGTGGACACTGGTAATTTTGGTGCAAACCAAAATCTGTTACAGTAATCCACAGCAAAGGGCTAGACATGGCCAGTCCCACTGATCCGGCAAGCTTACCAGGTGATGATTTTGCATGTTCTTTCCTGAAACTCACAAGGCCTGGCTCTCCAATGTCCCACTCTATCTGTAGACCCTTGCCAAAAGACCCAACCCATATATACTTCCTGAATGGGTCACTGAGAGTAGGAATCACTACTGTCTAACAGCCATGTGACAGTGGCCAAGAACTCACCAGACCTGCCATGTATACTCCCAAATCCCCAATGAGGGAGGGGCGAGGTTGCTTCCAGGGTGTGGCAACTAGAAACATGCTATAAATACACATATATAGGCTTCTATATTTGAATTTCTTGCTAAATACCTGGAAATAGGATTCCTAGGTCATATGTGTATTCTTTGTTACTACAAACAAACAAAAAACCCATCAAGTTGCTTCCCCAGTGGCTGCACTATTCTACATTCTCACCAGTAATGAACTGAATTCCTGTCTTCAAAGCACTTGCTACTCTAAGAGTCAACGTTCAGCTGATCTGCATCCCTGGTTCCTGAGGACCCTAAAAAGTTCCTGCACAACAAAAGTATCTGTTTTATCATAGTGATGGGCCCCTTGGACCACATTTGAGTTTGTGCAGGTTAACAAGACAGTAAGACTCAAGATAGTGTCAGGATATATGTGGCTGCTTGGGGACACTCCACCTGAATAGAGCCAGGGGCATCAGGCCCAACATCCATCTCCAGGAGGGACAGAAACTGGAGCTGGGTTTTAGCTTGTAGCTGGCTAGAAAGTAATCAATTGTGCTTGGAACCATAGCTGAGTGAGCTACCCCAGCCAGTAATGCACATCAGTGTAAATCATAAGACAGCTCACATGTTGAGAACCTCACAGACCTTGTAGGGCCCTCTCCTTTTGTCCAGTCCTGATTTTTGCCCTTTATAATAAAACCATCAGTACAGTGCATCATTCTAGAGGTTATTCAATCAGAGAGGTCATGGGTACCCCAATCTTTCAGCTGAAGTGGGGTAAGTCTTTGTAGGGGACATGCCCTAAACTATGTGCTTTGATCAAGTTCTAACAATATAAGAACTGCACTGACGCCAGTATCTTTTTGCTCTAACCATTCAGATGCAGTGCCATCTCACTATGGTTTTAGTTTTCATTTCTAAAAAGACTACTGATGTGGTTTATATTTCACATGCTTATCTGAAACCATGAACCACAGTGAAGTGTCTATTAAAATATTTTAATCTAAGCTGGGCATGGTAGTGCACGCCTGTAGTCCCAACACTTGGGAGGCAGAGGCAGGTAGATCTCTGTGAGTTCAAGGCCAGCCTGTTCTACATAGAGAGTTCCAGGACAGCTGGGGCTACAGGGAGACCCTGCTTCAAAAAGACCAAAAAAAAAAAAAAATTTTTTCATTTGTTTTCAGAGTTCTGTGTGATCTGACTTTTTATCTTCTTGTTTGCACAAAGCTGAAGTTTTAAATTTTGTTGAAGTCTAATTTATTAAGTTTTTCTTTCACAGATCATACTTTTAGTACTATTTCTTTAATATTTTATTTGTTATTTTTATTTTATGTATATTAGTGTATTGCCTGCATGTGTGTAAGTGCACCGTGTTGTGCAATGCTCTCGGAGGTCAGAGGAGTTGCATTCCCACTGGCACTGGAGCTATAGACAGTTGTTAGCCACCATGTGGGTGCTGGGAATTGAACTCAGGTGCTCTTAACCACTGAGCTATCTCTCCAGCCCCTTTTAGTACCATTTCTAAGAAATCTTTGCACAGCACAAAGTAACAGATTTTCTTCTTTTTTTCTTGAGATAGGGTCTCCCTATAGCCATTGCTGGCCTGGAACTTGCCAGGCTGGCCTTGAGCTCACAAAGATCTGCCTGCCTCTGCCTCCCAGTGCTGGAATTAATGACGTGCCCCACCACACCTGGCTTCTTCACTATTTTTATGCATCATCAACCTCAGATGATGGTCCTCAAAGTTTGTCTACTTTAGGCTTTTTTTTTTGAAACAGGTCTCTCATTGAGACCTGGGAATTTGCCAATTTGGCTAGACTAGCTGGCCAGTGAGACCCAGGGATACTCCTAGCCATCTCCCCAGCAGTGAGATTACAGGCATGTGTCAAAGACCTGCATCCTCTCCCCAGATGCATGTAATTCTGCCCCAGCTGCATGTGGTCTCAGGGCTGTGAGTGTTTAGAGGGTAGACGGTTAACTGAGGAGCAGCTTGCTACTCCATTTACATAGCTATGGGGATGCTGACATCCAAGCTGGGATGATGCAGTCCATTGAGGTTAGACTGTGAAATGTCCCTCAGAGTCTCATGTGTTTTGACATCTGTCCCCAGATGGTGGCACTGTTTGGAAAGAGGTCACTGGTGACAGGCCTTGAGGTCCCACTTCCTGCTTACTCTCCTCTTCCTGACTTCTGATACAATGTGACCAGCTGTCTCTCTGCTCCTGTGGCCATGTCACAACTCAAACAGCAAACCAAAATAAACTCTTCCTTCCTCAAACTGCTTCTTGTCAAGTAGTTTGTCATAACAGTGAGAAAATAACTAATATACAGCAGTTGAGGAGTGACCCAGGCCCTGTAGGTAAACCCAATAAATTCATTGGTTAAGCAAGCTACACTTGGGTGGACTCTTTGGTCTGTGATTGTTACCCTATCTGAGCTAACTAGATGTTTGTTCATGTCTCCCTAAGAAAAACTTATACAACACTACAATCCCTCTTTTTTTTTTTTTTTTTTTTTTTTGAGATAGGGTCTCCCTGTAGCCCCAGCTGTCCTGGAACTCACTATATAGACCAGGCTGTCCTCAAACTCACAAAGATCTGCCTGCCTCTGCCTCCTGAGCGCTGGGATTAAAGGCGTGCACCACTACACCTGGCTACAATCCCTCTTTTTATTGTTGTGTTTAGAGCTTGTAGGCTTTCTCTGGAAGGTTGGTTTTTCAGCTGTTGATGTGTTGTAGAATTATCACACCAGTTAGGTTCACACCATAGCCTATGGGCAATGGATTCCAATCTCTCCATTTCAAAAGCCTTGCTTCTGATCACTCAAGAATTTGTCCATGATTCAAGCTGAGGTTTGCACATTAATCCAATTTTCATTGCCTTTGCTATCCTGCTGGGGGCTTCTCTTGAGATTTAAAGAGGCTCATGGAGAGAATCAGTAGATCTTTTGTTCTCATCAAATACACATGCTCATCCTGGATCTTTAAAAAAGGTACAAATAGGGGCTAGAGACGGATCAGAGATTAAGAGCACTGGCTGCTCTTGGAGAGGCCCCCAGTTCAGTTCCAAGCACCCACATGGCTTACAATCTTCTAGAACTGCAGTTCTGAGATTCAATGCCTTCTTCCTCTGTGGGCATTATATGCTCACACATGTAGGCAAAACACTCATACAGATAAAATGAAATAAATCAAAAGAATTTTTAAAGATACAAATGGTCATCTCTCCAAGAACAAGGAAGCCAGGACCATGGGCGTAGCTGTAATCCCAGTATTTGGGAATGAGAAGCAGAAGGATCCAAACTTGGATCCATAGTAATAAGTCTTGGATACATAGTAATACTGTCAAAAAAACCAAGGGTTAAGGGATACATCTCTATGGTAGAGCACATACCTAGCATGTGAAGTCTCTAGGGTTTTTTTTTTTTAATGTTTTATTTTTCTTAATGTGTTTGTGTGTATTGTCTGCATGTAGATAGGTGCATCCATGTCATGCAATGCCTGTGGAGGTGAGAAGAGGGCATTGGATACTTTGGAACTGAAGTTATGGATGGTTGTTAGCCACCATGTGGGTGCTGGGAATCGAACCTGGGTCCTTTGCAAGAGCAGCCAGTGCTCTTACCGACTGAGCCATCTCTCCAGTCCCAAGTCTCTAGGTTTGATTTCTATCCATGACCCCCTCCACCCCACAAAAAATATAAAAGCAAAAAGCAAAAAATACATTAAGAATGCAACAGAATTCCTACTGAAGCTACTAAAAGCAAATGACAGCCAGGAGTATGGCACACATCTGTAATCCAAGTAGAGACTGAGCCAAGAGGACTGCTGCACAGTTAAGGACAGCCCAGGCTACTTGGTGAATTCTAGGCCAGCCAGGGCTACATAGTAAAACTGTCTCAGAAAAGGAAAAAGGACCAGGCATGGTGCTATATGCCTTTAGTCCCACCACTCTGGAGGCAGAAGCAGATGTGTGAGTTTGAGGCCAGTTTGTTTTACATGGTGAATTCCAGGCCAGCCAGTGCTACATAGTGAGGTCCTGTCTCAAAAAAAAAAAGAGGAAGGATGGCTGGGCATGCTGGCACAAACCTATGCTTGGGCAGTGGGGGCAGGAGGTCAGAAGTTCACAGTCATTCATCCTTAAATAGATAGCAAGTTTGGAACCAACCTGGGGTACATGAGATCCTACAAAAATAAAAAGCCTACAGACACTGACTTCTGAGCTCTCAACCCCTAAAGGAAGAAGTCAGCTTACTGTCCTATCTCCTGCACTGATACTCCAATTGACTACCTTGACTACACACATGATGTGTGAACTCAGCTTTTTCATGTGTCTACACACATGTGCACGCACTCACACACACACACACAAACACACATACAGTTTGCACAGTACACATGTAGCGGTCAGGAGACAACATTTGAGACTTAGTTCTCTCCTTCTACCTTGTTAAGGCAGGATCTCTCCTGTTCTATTGCTGTGCAGCTTGCTCCAGGTTAGCTGGCCCTCGAGCTTCTTGCCTATCTTCTTATCTCTGCCTCCTACTTAACTGCTCTTAAGACACAGGAACACAGGGCTGGAGAGATGGCTC